CCAAGAACTAAACATTAAGTCCTTTTTATAACAAAGACAAGACTTGTGAGGTAAGGTAAGTCATTAGTATAAAAGAGGCTTAAATTATAAACTAGCCCATGAATCATGTCTTCAAATCTACAGACCAAAGTTCTAGCCCAAAAGATGTAAGGATGAGGCCCACTGCACACTTCTGTAGGATTGCCACAACACCGTCCAGTGAAAGACTCTTGTAGAACTACTACAGGACTAGCCAGAAACTTCTAAAATCTGCATTAATTCGATAATAACATAAGCTTTTGAAATAATACTTACTAGTTTATATAAAACTCAAAAATCACATAATATGACTTAAAAGGACTCACTTTAGACACTAATAGACAAATAAAACAAAGAAAAATGATTGAGAAATTGATGTGATACGGTTAATAAATTAACATCTATCATAGTGATAAATTGAATACAAGAACATGTTTACTTGAATTTAAGTGTTGACTGGTGGATAATTTTGCATTTTCAGGCAGACATTGTGAGAATGCTGCAACAGGGTTATGGACAGATAATTAGCAATTATGAAGTTAACTTTTGAAGATTTCAAAATATTTTAAGCCGCGAAGGAGTTCTTTTTCCAGCCATCCAATACTAGGATAATTTGTGGTTGAAACGAAATGTCTGGATGCAATTTTATATACCCGTTATTTTATTTGTATTATGATCACTTTCTTGTTTTTTACTCCCACAAACTCCTAGTATAAAAGCGTGTTGGGAGTGTAGTTAAGAAATCATCATATCTTTTGGTTACCACAAAAAGCTTCAGACATCGTGTATTATCTTCTCCCAATATAAAGTCTTTTTGTCTTTAGTTATATACTTTTCAGAGTTATCTTTAATTACTTGGTACTTTAATTCTCATTTGTTGCTTTTATATATTACTTCATGTTTAAATATTAAATAGGTTTCAAAACCGTGTCCTCATATATTCACCAATCAAATATATAGATGATACAAAACATATCTCTTATTCTAAAAGAAGATCCCAAAAATATAATACAAATACAAAGGCTATCTTATCAACCAAAAGATTATCTCGTGGTTCCTAATAAATCGGAGGCCCTATCTCTATCACTCCCCCACAGTCAAAACGAAGAATTGACGAATGTTGAGATTGGACCAATAATCATCAAACAAGACCGAGGGTAGATCCTTCATGAAGATATCGACAAATTGGAACTGAGAGGAACATGCATGACACAAACCTGACCCTTGGCAACATGCTCTCAGACGAAATGAATGTCCATCTTGATATGCTTGGTACATTGACGTTGCATGGGGTTTCTGAAAAGATAAATCATACTAACATTCTCATAATAAACCATAGTAGCATTAATAAGAGGACAATGGAGCTGTAGTAATAAATTACGAAGCCAACAAGTCTCGGCTACCACATTACCCACCCCACGGTACTTTGGTTCCATACTTGATCGAGATAAAGTTGGTTGTCGTTTAGAAGACCATGAGATAAGGTTATCCCTGATGAAAACACAATATCGCTAGGTGGAGCATCAGGTATTGGGGCACCCGCCCTAATAAGCATTTGTGTAGGCTATAAGATTCAAAGAGTGTGACAAAGTCAAGCGTAATCCAAAGTGTAGGATGCTTTGAATATAGCAAGGAATCCGACGTAAAGCCTGAAAGTGTGACTAATGAGAATCATACATAAAAAGACACGTTTGTTGAACTGCATATGAGATGTCAGACCGAGAAAAAGTGAGATAATGTAATGCCTTGGGGTTGGAGTTTATGGATCGTTTAGGCTGATGTGTAGAGTGCAGTTGAGGAGTCTGTCGCGCATGTGCTTATTGTGCTTTTCGAGTCTCCTCCAATGTCAACATGTTTCATGCTTAGTAGAATGGTAGCAAAGAGTCGGACTGTTGAATGATTGTTGTGACACCATTGTATGCCTCAGATAACCTAGACATAAGTTGAAGAATGAGATGCCAATTTCACACCGGAGGCCCAATGTTTTACAACTGATCGACCAACATTTTAAGGTGTTAGCAATATGCAGATATGTTGGGAAAATCAGCCTGTTGAGATCATGAACTAATGTTCGAGATTAACCGCTCTCGAACTTTTACTATCCATAAAAATCTCCTTGAGATGATTCCAAGCAATTGGGGGAGAAGCTTCAGGTTCCAAAAATCGTGTATAGAAGATCAGTAGATATGGTACCATATATGGTTCCAAAATCGTGTATTGGAGAGCGTGGTCCACATAAGTGTCTCGTGGAGGAATGATATGATCTAATACTTGATATGTTCGGACATGTATTTGAAGAGCTCTGCCCAAGAGGCATATTAGCCTTTCTCAATCTCGAGAGTGATTGGAATGAAGGTGTGAATGTTGGAAAGGTGAAAGCAGAGTGAAACGAAGAAGGTTTAGAACCAGAGGCATCATTTTTATCATTTGCCATGTTAGCCATAACTGTTAGGAAGAAGGGTGGGGGACTTTCTCAAGCTCTTATACCATGATAGGTTTCAAAACCGTGTACTCCTCATGTATTCCTCAATCAAATATATAGAGGATTTAAAAACAGATCTTTTATTCTAAAGGAAGATCCCAAAAATATAGAACAAATATAAAGGCTATCTCATCAACCTAAAGATTATCTCATCGGTTCCTAATAAATCGGAGGCCCTATCTCTATCAAATATCTCTTAGATGTTATTTTCTTGCAATTTATTTATTTACTAGTCTTAAATCTCGTAATCGTTTTTTCATTAAGTCGTCATAATCTAGTTTTAATTTTTCGCGAACTTCAAATTATCACCATTCTTATTATAAGTTGTCGTAAAACTTCATTTCTAGTTTTTAATGTCTTATTTATTTAAAACAAAAATGCAAGGGTCTCAAGCGATAATAGGCTAAAAACCTTAATTTGGGTGTGAGGTGAAGTTAAGACAAAAAAACTACTTTTTTTTATGGTGGAGATTATTAATCCATAACAAATCTTTACAACTATTCATTCAAGGTCACATTGATAAAAATCATATCGCTTGACAAGTAGTGTGTTTGTATTCAGTCCCTCATTACAAACCCAAGTACAACCATTGTTAACTTGTTATCTCATTCGGGACCAATACTCTATCCCAACTGCACCCCTAACCCCATCACCATATGCACACACAATCCACGTCCCACTTGTACCACCGAACTCCTTCCCACATGAATTGTGTACAATCGAAATTAAGAAGAGAGACTATTTTAAATGATCCGTGTACATAGCGAAGTTGGAAAAACCTAAATCAATGGCTTGAAAAGCCCAAACCAAGCTACACTAGGGTTTGTGAATCTTGATTCTTGAAAAAATGTTATAGCAATTTGCTCGATTTGGGTTTTTGATGTTAAGTATTTGGATGGTCAAATCACCTTTTCTTCTTCCTTCTTATATCGATAGATCCTTGCGACCTCTCACCATAACCACCATCTCTAATCCAGATTTGTGAATGCCCACCCTCAAAACCCATATTTATGATCAAGACAAATCTATATCAGAAAAAACTGAATAGAGAAACCCATATTTGCATTCTGAAGGGGTCAAAATATTCAACTTTGAATCATTAACTCCATATGTTTCTTTATGCAAATACTTTAAAATCCACCACCGATAGAGAAACCCACTAGAATAACTTCTATTTCACCGTAGTTGTCTTTTCATGTTTCTGCCCTTTACCCCATAGTTGTTCAGAAAAAAATTCAACGTTGTTGTCAATAACAAGAGAACCCTAAGTTTTTAGAATCAGTGTTGCCCTAAACTGACAACTTTTTTGTTGTTGTTATAAATGAAAACCAACAGTGGTTGCTGCTCCTTTGTTGTTATGAATCAACATTACAAGCCTCTCATAATTGTGGCTTTTCTTCCCTTCAAGGGATCTCTTTATCTAAAACCCCCGACTACCTTATAGTTCGGAAGTTTGAGTGAAAGATAAGGGTGAGGGTTGAGGGCAACTGGTGGGCGGAAACGGTGGAGAAAAAGAAATAGCAGTGACAATAGTCGAAGACATGAGTAGAAGGGGGTGCCATAAAGAAGTTAGTGTAAGGGTTTCACGCTAGAGGAGGACCAAAACCAAAAGTTTATTTAGTTCAAAACAGGGACGAAATTTGATAGTTGATGGAAACCACATATAGTAGTTATGTAGTAAAAGTTAGTAGATCTTGGAGTCTGGTCGTATTTAAATATGACTAGAAGCGTATTCGTGCAAAACAACGAGATACATCTCGATTGTAATATTTGTTTTATAACCTGGTTTTGTATGGTTTCGAGAAAATGATAATGTTTTTGTATTTGAATAAAAGATAAATTTGAAGACCCATAAAAGGTTTTTATATATATCAGTATAAAATTAACAAGTTAAAACTTCTCCTTTTTTATTATAATTTTTTACTATAATTTAACTAAGATTTAGTAACGAAGTAATTTATTTTAGGTATAATAATATAATGTCTTTATAAAGATAATTTTTAGTTCAATTTATTTATTATAATCTAATTTAGGTTTAATAACGAATTAACTTATTATAGGTTTAATAATATAATTTTTTTATTCAGATAATAATTAATTATTTTGTTAGAACTTATTGATTATCTTAATTATATTTTAGATTCTTTATATTTAAAATTAGATGTTTATCTTGTATTTAATTATATTTATCAGTTAGTTATATGAATTCAAATATATAATTTTAAAAATTAGTACTCATTGTAATCTTGAATTTTAAGTAATATTTTATTAAAAATACTTGATACATTGAAAGTGGTTTTTAAGAATTTGTATCAAATATTTTATAATATAGTATATAGATACGGTTTATTACTTATGAAATTAAAATAAAATAATATTTTAACCAGTCGAAAAGTCAAGGTTCCGTGAAAATATCTATCTGGGCCAAACGGGCTTTAAGATGGGCCCAAAGTAGTCCATATTTCCTGACTTAAAAGTTAAAAGGTTGATATTGCCATAAACCCTAGATTGCCGCAAATCCGTATACGAACTTTGAACGCCGGAGGAAAGCAAAGAGAAGCCACACGCCCACACCATGGTAATCTATATCCCCTCTCGTTTGATCGTCTTAGTTTTCTTGATTCGATCATGTACTTTTTTATTCTGTTTGTGTTAGAACCCTAGAAATGTTTTATGTGTAATTCTTGAGAATGTTCAAGCAACTGTAATGATTCTATGTAAGTTTTTTCTTTCAATCACCATTGTTGTTTAGGACCACTGTATATGGAGATATCAGTGGATTTGGAGTTCATCGATTTCAATTTTTAGTGATTCTACTTTTTTTCGTTTCTAATCCGCTCTGGTTCTAGTTGATTGGAAGTGTCGGCGAACAATTGACGTTTTGTTTTGATTTTGTGGATGACTTCCGCCAATACCAAGCTATCTTAAATCGGCATGAAGTGATCTCAGCTGCACAATGATTTCTAGATGATTGGTTGTTCCTAGTTTGTTAAATTACATTGTAAAAATTGCACTGGATCTCTTAGGCTGTCTGTTTAGCTTAATTGAAATGCGTTTTTTATTTAAAAATTGTGTAGGAGCGTTTGATTTAATTGATGTTTGTCTTGCATTTAACAATCCTTGTCTTAATTGAAATACTGTTTATATATGAAAACTATTTGTCATAGTTGAATCTATGTAGCATGAAATGATGCCACGGCATTTGTTTCTATTTTCCATTGACATGGGTACCTATGGGTTCTAAACTTCTAATTGTCTTGAGTACATATAAGTGTTGGTTTTGATTCCCGAGTTCAAATAAGAAACTTGTGGAATATCTTTTGTTAATGGTTAAATTGGTTGGTCTTACATTGTAAATTGGTAATACTCAGCAACTGTTTGTGGTTGTAAGAAATGTTCAATATCTGGCGATGTAGATAGTGGTTTTCTACTTTTCTAGTGGAACTACTACTTTTTTTTGCATCCTTGTTTTTTTAGCATTGCTGATCTCTAACGTGTTTGGTCTAATAGTCTTCGAAGAGAAAGGTTAGAGAGCCAAAGGAAGAAAATGTTACCCTTGGACCTGCTACCCGTGAAGGAGAGCTGGTATTTGGTGTGGCACATATCTTTGCATCATTCAACGATACTTTCATTGTAAGTTCAAAACTATATTTCTTTAGGTCGAAATTTGTAGTTTTTATGATGCGTTTTTATGACTGAGTCATATCTACGGCCTACTGCAGCATGTCACTGATATTTCTGGAAGAGAAACCATGGTTCGAATTACTGGTATGATCCACGGTTATTTTCGGAAGCTAATTTACATTACTACTTTCTTCATATAGTAAACAATGCTCCCCTCGTTCCAAAATAAGTGTCTGCTTTTGGAAGTAAGTCCTACTTTCCAATGTACCGTTAATTATTTCCATCTATTATTAAGGGTAAAACTATCATTTAGTTAATTAAAGAGGGTAATAGTTAGACTTTATGCTGTTATATCGGTCAGAATACGAAATATCGGTCAGGACCGATATTCGATATATCGGAAATAGTGGTTAACATAATATTTCTTAGAATTATATATATAATATGCATTAATTAGAGTTTAGAAATATAGTTTCAAAATTAAAACATCACATCATCTAAAGTGTTCAAAAACRARCTAATCRCAAGCAATAGGTTCGGCATCCGAGTCAACATCATCCAATACATTCACTTCTTCRTTTAGGTTAGCTTCCCAATCTTCCTCTTCTTCCCCTTCATCTCCAACATGATGATGATCATCATCATCTCTATAGCGCTCCCTTTTACTTCTTGTACTTGGTCCAACTTCTTCATTACCTCCCATTGCTTCTCGTACATCCGACCAAAGGAGGCCATCTCTTGCATCCACAAACTCTTGGAGCTCAACGTTGGTTGGAACCACCCAATCATCATTTTCTTCAACATCTCTCAAGAAAATAGGATTTGAAGACTTGCTATCCTTAAGAGATTTTAGTAATTAAGTTCCTAGTTCTAAGTTCTAACTTCTAACTAAGACAAATAAGAATAATCAAGTGAGTGGGTGGGTGATAGTAAGACCTGGAGGCTGGATTACAGTTGCAGCCAGCTATGCTGTTAATGTCGCTGGCTCTGTTGCTGTGGCTGTACTCTGTAGCAACCTGGTAAGCAGAGGAGATCGAGAAGAGATCGAGAAGTGTCGATTACAGTTGCTGCTGTGGCTGTAGCAACCTGGTAAGCAGAGGAGATTGAGAAGAGAGACCGAGAAAAGAAGAAGACGTTGTGAGAAGAGAGACCGTGAACGTGAACTCGAAGCCGTGAGAAGAAGAAGAAGAAGTCGAAGTTGTGAGAAGTCTGAAGTTGAAGCCTTGAACTCGTGAACTCGTGATTAACTCAAGAAAGAAGAAGACGTTGTGGAGTAAGGAAGCTTCACTGATTTTAGATTCAGACCTAATTTAGCCTAAAAAATTAGGCCCATGGAATAACAAAAGCCCAAAATTTTAAACCTTATAAAATCGGTATATCGGTCCGATTTTTACCTCAAAATATTGCTAAAAATCGCTAAAAAATCGCTAAATATCGCCGATAATATCGGCCCCAATATTTTGACCGATATTTGTGGTCCGATTTTTTTCCTAGGAGCCATATCCGATATATCGCCGATATATCGCGATATTAACAGCATAGGTTAGACTTTTATAAAACTATTTGTCTTTTTCATGGTGGATATTTATTTTGGGCCGGAGGGAGTACAATTTATGAATTTTTCACATAGTTGGATGATTGAATTCATCGCTGTAATGACTCGGGGGCCGTTTACTAAATGCTTACCTGGTAAGTGCTTATCGGGTCACTTTACCTTATTGAATGAATATGACAAAGATTAAGAATCTTACCCAGTAAGAGCGACAACATGGACCGTCAGTCTACATGGTAAGTGAGAGTGATGACTCTTACCCGGTAAGTGCTTGCCAGATTAAAATGTTTCGTACGATGCTGTTTTAATGGACTAAAATTTTACCCGGCAAATGGAAGTGTTCAATCTTACGGTAAGTGCTTACCGGGTACGCGTTGTGCATCGGGTAAACGGCCACTGCTTTGAGTTTGGTTTTCAGTTTCAATTGTTATTAAGTTTATTGACTATACATTGAATTTCTTTTCTAGGTGGGATGAAAGTGAAGGCTGATAGGGATGAATCATCTCCCTATGCAGCTATGCTTGCTGCACAAGATGTTTCTCAGCGATGCAAGGTCTTTATTTTCTTCTTATTTCTCTACTATAGTTTGATTTGCATGAATAACAATAATGTCATGCAAGTGTGATTTGTTTCATGGACAGCTTGAGAAATTCAAAATTTCAACATATCTCATGCATTTTTAAGTGAACTTTGAAATTTCATCGAGTAGGATTAGACCTCATACAGGTGAGTGATTTGTGGATGGGGGTCCACTCTGGGGGGGATGGTAGGTCACTTGAGTGCTAGAGGGATGTGTCTCTGCCTAACTTTACGTTTTGTATGTTTTCAGCGTACCTACTTTGTTTAAGCCTTATTCTTGTTCTATGATCTCTATGTGCTATTCATTGTTCCTTCTACTTGTTTGCTTACAGTCTTGCACAACTGTAAGATGCCTTTTTGAGCTAATATTGATATTTGGTTTCGATATTTGTACTAACCCATTGGTTAATAACTGAAACATATAAACCTTGAAAATATTAGAGACCATTTAAGCATCTGAGGATTGGAAATAAGATCGCTGAACTTGAAACCCGAATCATACTTGATGGACTTTGTTAAATGAAGTAATAATGTATTGGTGTTGGAATGACAGGAACTTGGCATCAATGCTCTTCACATAAAGTTGCGTGCAACCGGAGGGAATAAGACCAAGACACCTGGTCCAGGTGCCCAGTCTGCCCTCAGAGCTCTTGCTCGTTCTGGAATGAAAATTGGTCGCATAGGTAACCTTTTTAAAGCTTACACACACATATATATATATATATATATATACACACATGCAAAGGATCGTGAGAAGAGAAGTTATGGTGAGAAGCATAAGAAGATCTGAATCCTTTTAATCTCATGCCCACCCATGAATTGCTTTTTAGAAGAGAATTGATCCGGTACATCTCGGTGCATCTAATTAGTGGTGACAATCAATTATAATTGATTTAAGGGTGGAGATTTCTTCTTATGCTTTTCACCATAACTTTTCTTCTCACTGGAACCCAACCCTATATATATATATGAGTGAAGGTTTACATATGAAAGGCAAAAGGGTTGAGGATGTACAATCGAAGATGCATGTTTGAACCCATGTTTGTTTACCTATCTTTTTTTACCAATTATTCACATATGAAGATACGTATATGAAACACTATGTTTTCTTTTACCAATGGTTCATATGTTCTTGAAAACTTGTGCATACATATGTTATTGTATAAATGCTTTTTTGTTTCCATTGGTTAGAAATGTAAAAAGGTTGTGTGTTTTTTTTGGTAATGATTTCAGAGGATGTGACACCAATTCCAACAGATAGCACCCGTCGAAAGGGTGGTAGAAGGGGAAGGAGGCTGTGATTCATTTGCATTTTGGATTGTTACTGTTTTATGATGACTTTTGTAAGAGAGGTTATTTGATAGCCTGGATATGTTTCTCTGTATTTTTGGTATTAATATTTCGTGCTAATTCGGCAACTTCGGTTTTTGAAAGAAATATTGAAGTTTCACCTAATTGTTTAGTTTTTACGATATACTACTTCCGCAACTTTTGTGTTTATTTGATTTTAAGCGGATCAAAGTCTACTATATAGTCTTTTGATATGCTCCAAACAAAGACCCAAATCACCCAAATGGTTCTCTTCTGTGTCTTTGATAAAAACTAAAACCAGAAGGCACTCGGAACCTTAGGGCGTTTGATTTGACGGAATGGTTTTGAGAGATTTGGATTTCGTGGAAGGATTTGGAATCTTTGGTGTATTTTGCTTTATAGGTTTTGGAACGGAATTGAATTTCATTTTTTATGAATAATTTGTAATAACAAATCAAAATAATTAAATTGTTTTTTATTAATCGATTATTAGAAAATAAATGCTTTTAGTATATGAAAATCCTAACCAACCTGTGAGAATTTAAAATCCTATGATGGATTTCAAAAAAATTTCTATGATTTAAATTTGAACAAATCAAACATGAGATTGGAATAGATTTAAAATCCAAATCCCTACAAATCAAACAAAACAAACCCTTAAATTTTACAAAAGTTCAGAACCAAGATAAATACTTATTTACCCCGGATTTTGCCAAAGCTTATAGAAGTTCTCCTGTGATGGGTCGATAACTTATGGTTACTTAAAAAAAATTTCTTTCCAATTGATAGCAAAGTTGCCAAAAATTTATCCGGTCTACCGGTATTTGAGTTATAAAGTTTAAATCTTATCAAAAACACTATACTTGTTACAAGAAGTACAAAACAATTGACGATTCATCCTGATTCAACTACTTGGATTTTCCCTAGCATATTCACACTTACTTTTTACTTTATTTTATAAATGTGCACTTTGATCTCAAATTTATCAAGCACCAAAGATTTTCAGAAGTAGGTTTTAGGTCTTAAAAATTAAAATCGTAACTCATCCCACCTTTGAATATCCAACTCGTTATGTGATCTGACTAATCCCACCTGTTTCGAGGGTAGTCCAAAATCACCGCATTTGAACTTTTGTGGTCGCAAGAAGATTCTTATTCCTCCTTGGATTTGAATCCGGAACCTGTAAGTACTTTTGACATTTGAAACCCAAGCTTAAACTAATCGGACGCCATCTTTGTGGTTTAATTTAAAACATTTAATGACCAAACATAATGGCATTAGTTCTTATGATTTGTTGGTTGTCAACATATTACATAAATATGTAAGAAGTATTAAAAAAATGCTACTACTCAATTATCCAACGTATATTATCTTATCTATTTTTTAGTGTTTAGACATATTTATATGATGACAACCTTGATATGGTATATATTTGAATAGGGTTTGATTTTTTGTTATATATGACCGTTGAGAATTTTGACAACCTTGATATATTGACATTGTATAAAGAAAATGAACCATAGTTTTTAAGTCTTGTTAGAGTTGTCAGGTTTTTTACTAAACGTTGAAGCAAGGCTACAACTTTGCCTTTTCTTTTAGTGGAATGATGATTTCGAAACAAATTAGACAATTTACAATGGAATAGCTCTTGTTGCTTCAGATTGTGCTGACTTAACCTAATAACGAGCTCAATATTATGTCTTCCCATAGTTCTCAACAAATTCATCACCCGTGTTGTTAGACTTGTTGAAGCTACAACATAAGTGGAACCTTGAGGAGTAATACAATACCCCGCTTATAGAAAATCTAATCTTGTAGCCGAAAGCCCAATTATGTTCAATTTTTGAAAGCATTATTTGTTGACTTGTATCTTAGTTTTCAAGAGTTATTCATTAAGGCAAGTCCATTTTATATTTGTTTTTTTAAATTTCATTGTTGGTTGAAACAATCTTGGTTAGGACCAAATTGTATAGAAAATTGTTAAAGTAGGGTTAATTTGAGAATAAGTTTAAGATCAAGGGTTAGATGGTAAATATTATAAATATAAATATAAAATTATTTTTGTTTTTTAAAACCAAAATCAAATTTCATTTTCTCTCTCACGTTCATTTGATTTCTCCTACTTCTCTCCAGAAACCTTAAACCTCATCTCTAAACCTCAAATCTCTTATGAAATTCCAAGATTCTTGAAGATTGTATGTTAGAATTGGAACTAGGGCTCAAAATAAGATATGTTTACGGTTTGATTTTTATGATTTCTTCTTCTTTGAGGGAAATGGGTCAAACCCTAAATGTATTCATGAACATAGGTGAAAGATTGATGATTTGAGGTGAGATTTCTTCAAGTTTGGTGCTATTGGAAGTGGCAGATTTAATTCAGTAAGTTTGAAAATTCGTAAAAAATCAACCATTTGTCCAAATGAGATGTTATTTATATAAACATAAAGATCTATGAGTTTACTACAAATTTGTACACCAAAACTTAGTTCTGAGCTTAAGTGAGTCGAAAACATTGGTTTTGCCAGCCCTGTTATGCATCTACGAAATTGCATTCTGTTAGAGTAAATTCTATAGTAATTAGACCAGAGCTCCAAATTATGTGAATCCAGTTTCTTTGAAATCCTAAAAGGTATATCTACAACTATTATTTTGACAAGAAAGTTGTTTTTCAGCCTCTAAGTTTGAGAAAAATTCTTAAACTTTAGGTGTTAAGAATCTGTTAGCTACTGTTTTGGTATGTAGAAATTGGATTTTTGCAAATCTTGTTTAGGGTCCTAATAATTGTATTGAGTGTTTATTAAGTGTCCTAAGGGTATTTTAAGCATATTTGAAGGTCCGTAGGATCTCTTAAACTATAAGAGCTTGTAGGAACTTGAAATTGATGAGAACTGTTATCGAAAATCGTCTAAAAGTATTTTACTAATAAGTGTAAGTAACCCGGAAGGAGAGAATCGTTCATAATCCTCAAGTCTCTTGTGGTAATTTCTAAAACACTTCCAAGGCTTTCAATACGTGGATAATCAATTGTGGTGATTATCCATTTCGTGGAATCTTGATCATGGTATACATACACAAAGTAGAGGTTATCAAGATGTTATCTGGAATCTTTTGTGTTTATGCGATGTCTTGTCTTAAAAGACTTTATATGCTTGAGAACTTCGATCCATTGACGGTGTCTTTTATGATTCTTGCCGATTAATTGATTTGAAAGCTTAATGGTTTTATTATTCTAGTTATCCCATGTTAAAATATTGATATGATTAATGAGTTTGAGTTTAAAGTTATTGAATTTAGTTTTAACTAGGCTCACTACTCGGGGCACGGGTATTGAGACACCTCAATGATGGCTAAAATAGTCATGATATTCTTATAAGGGCTATGACCAATCCAAATAGAGAATGTTGGATGTATCCTTGAACCGAATACCATTTACCATGGTTATCGGATAGAGCAGAATACCAATTACATTGGTTACCAGATAGAGATGAATACCTAATATCTCTTGTTACCGGGGAATGAGATGGTGTAGTCCTGACACTTTCATTCCATTACGAAGCTTAATTAGACTGATCATCCATTGGGAACAATGTATCCTAATGGTACAGATTGCCGTCTTACCTTGAATTTTTAATTATATAAGTTTTCAATTTTAGATATTTACACTTAAATCGATTTCAACTTTTATCGTAACATTTTCTTGCATTTACGATTTATCTTGTATTCACAGTGTTATCATTCGTTTATTGGGCAAATTTTGCTCGGCCGAGGTTTGTTTTGTTTTACCTCGGCAGGTTGGGGATCTAACTCGGGGGCAGGATGAACAATCGAGATGGCTTAGGATGCAGAAAGAATAGTTTTTAGATCAATACTTTTGCTATGTAAATATGTTAAACATATGAATATTATTGGTTGTAATGTAATCTTTTGGGAGTTATGTTAGAGCTCTATACTTTAAACTGTATGTTTTTGATCCGTTTTCGGTTGTGTCATACCTCATCTTACGTAAAAAAAGAAAATAAAATGGGTTGAGGGGTAGGGTTCGGTAGAATGGAATCACAAATTAAGGGATGGGTAAGTGTACGTCTCCAATCACATGCACGATTCGAACCAACTCTTGGTCGGTTGTGTGTTTTGTTTTGCTAAACATCCAAATTGTTTTGAGTAAGGGGATGTCTATCAAACGCTTGCCTAAGTAAGCAATGATGAAAATCAAGGTCTTTTAGGTTATTTAGTTATAGTACAGTATTTCCAATGCAATAAAGTTAGTTTGGTAGCCAAATCTCCCGTCTCCGTAATTCTTGCCTTACAAGAGCAATTAACTTCTCATTGATGGATTGTTTCATAGGGTTGAACAGCCTCCCAATGAGAGCGAGTCAAGACTTTGCTTTACCAAGTCACATTACCTTAGCGGATGAATATGACAAGGACCAAGAATCTTACCAGGTAAGAGTGAAGGCAAGGACCAAGAGTCTTACCCGGGAAATGAGGGCAACCACTCTTACTACAATTAACGCTTACTGGATAAATTTCTGCATACGATACCGTTTTGGTAGACTAAAATTTTGCCCAGTAAGTAAGTGATAGTACCGCTTACCCGGATAAGTTTTTAGTAAACAATCCCTAAAAGTCTCTTACCGTTACAAGGTCTCAAAATGCTGGTAAAAGTTACGAGCCGACTTATATACAATGATTAATTCCCTGAATGACCATGAATGGACTTAATTCATCTAACAAATGAACCTACAAAGAACTTTAATAACACTTGTATTCAAACCAATGAACCTACAAGATCTTCAATAACACTTGTATTCGAACCGGGACCCATATATCTATTTTTTAAAATTTTAATAATATAACTTGTTAAAAAGAATACTAGTTGTGTATCCGCGCAATGTAGCGGGAGCCGTGAATTTTAACGATTTTTGAAGTTTCATTGGTTTTATTAGAGAAGATTTAACGATGATATAAGTTACACTTGGTCTTTACATATTAATACAATTTGAATAAATAAGAGTTATGGTTCCAATTACAGTATATGGATAAAAAAATTGTATGACAGTTTAAAATCTAATATATCTAAAATCCAACATATTTAAACGACTCCACAAATGTGTTCGATTTACACCAAGAGCAAAAAATCAAGAGATCGAGAGTGACATCGAGAGTTCTACAACAATTGAATGAGAGAACTTTTAATAACTCATGGTGAATATCAGTTTAAATCTCACATTTAGAGATGAGGAGAAGACATAGAGATATGAGATAGTGAATACATGAGTGAAATGTGTCAAAAGTATTTTGAAAACATGAAAAGAAAATGTAACAATGTGATTGGTTACTTGCTCTATATGTCATTTTAATTGTAGATTAAGAGATTTTAAGATTGAATGTATAAAATAGTACTAATTAATGCATTATGAGTTGATTTTAAGATTTTTAAGACTTTGTGCATAAATGTATAATACTTTGTGCATTAAAAATTGTTTTTAAGACTTTTGATAAATCTGGTTTATAATGTAGTATAGATAAACTAGTTGTGTACTCGCGCAATGAAGCGGGAGCCATAAATTTTAACGATTTTGAAGTTCCACTGATTTTATAAGATAAGATTTAACGATGATATAGGTCACACTTGGTCTTTACATATTATCGGTGAAAAAATTGTATGACAGTTTAAAATCCAATATATTTAAAATTCAACATATTTAAACGACTCCACAAATGTGTTCGATTTACACCAAGAGCAAAGAACCAAGAAACTTGAGTTTTAAGATAAACACTCAAAACCAATAAAGAAAACTACAAATTTGACAGATCATAAGCCATGAAAAAACAAAAAAAGATGGGTTTTAGAATGAAATTTCAACTGCTTACCATTTTTCTTGTCCAGAAACTCAGATTAAGGTTGAACTAATATATGTATATATATATTTCAAAAAAAC